ACCAGTCCACATTTCCATAGGCGTCTTCAAATCAATTGCGGTTGATGGCGACCGATTGATCACATAACAGGTAGTTTTGACTGCTTCTGCCCAGAATGACTTGGCTAGCCCTGCAGTTCTCAACATTGCCCTTGTTCTTTCTAACAATGTTCTGTTCATCCGCTCTGCCACTCCATTTTGCTGTGGAGTGTATGCCACTGTGAACTGTCTCTTGATACCTTCTTGTTGACAGAAGTTATCAAATTCATCACAAGTATATTCTCATCCATTGTCAGTCCTTATACACTTGATCTTCCTTTCAGATTCAAGTTCCACACGCGCTTTGAATATTTTGAAGACTGCGAATACATCTGCCTTCCTCTTGATTGGATATACCCAACATCTCCTGGAGTAATCATCAATAAAAGATACAAAGTATCCTGCACCTCCTAAGGATATAACCGGTGCTTGCCAAACATCGGAATGGACCAGCTCCAAGATAGCTTTACTTCTAGCAGTGGAAGTGCTAAACTTTAATCTGTGCTGCTCACTAGTAACACAATGCTCACAAAAGGGTAATGAAACCTTTTTGAGCCCTGGAAGAAGCTTTTGTTCTGAGAGAATTTTCAAACCACGTTCCGACATGTGGCCAAGCTTGCGATGCCACATCATTGTTAATTCTTTTGTTGAACATGTTGATGCAACTAATGCTTCTCCTTCTTGTAGTGTTTTTCCTTTAAGCATGTACAAATTTGTAGCTACCTTTTCTGCTTTCATCACCACAAGCGCGCCTTTGAAAATCTTTATGATTCCATCTTGTATATGGGTTTTGCATCCAATGATGTCCAATTGCCCTAGAGACAACAGATTTTTCATCAAGCCTCTTACGTGTTGTACCTCCTGGATAGTGCGAACTGTACCATCATACATTTTCAATTTGATGGTACCAATACCAGCGATCTCCAAGGCATGATCATTTCCCATAAACACATATCCTCCTGGGATAGGTTCATACTGATTGAACCATTCCCTCCTTGGTGTCATGTGCCATGTAGCTCCTGAATTCATAAGCCATACATCAGAAAATTTCTTTCTGCCTTCAACAACTGTAGTTGCCTCGCTGTATAAAATTTCACCATCATTTGAGGTTCTTGCTACACAACTTTGAGATTTTGAAGTCTCAGGACCTTTTCCTTTGTCTTCTTCATTTTTCTTGAGACTCCAACAATCCCCTTTTAAGTGCCCTTTCTTGCCACAGTAATAACACTTGACATTTTTCTTACTCCTGGATTTTGATCTCCTTCGATTATGACTCCCACTTGAGCCACGTTCCATTGATCTCCCTCTCATCATCGTCAAAGCTTTCGCCTGATGCGAACTTGTCAATCTGTCCTCCTTGTTCTTGCGCCTACTTTCCTCTTCAAGAATAGCAGCTGCAATATCATCGAAGACTAGAGTTTCAAGGTTGTTGGTTAAGTTGATGATGAGTTGATCATACGAATCTGGTAGACTTTGAAGTAAGATTTCAGCACGTTCACCAGTCTCTATATTATGCTCCATTGATGTGAGTTGTGAAAATAGAGTGTTGAGGGTGTTGATGTGGTCTGTCACCGTAGTTGACTCCATCATCCTAAGGGTGTAAAGTTTTCTTTTTAAGAAGATTTTGTTGTGTAACGAGTTGGCCTCGTACAGCTTTGTCAGCGTATCCCATATCTCTTTGGTCGTCTTTTTCTCTGCCACACTTGACAATACTCCATCTGCTAGTACAAGGTGCAGATTAGCAACTGCGTTGCTATCCATCTC